ACTAATATGGATACAACAAATACCTCCAGCTAAATGCTGAACTGGGCTAGTCTCATTGCAAAACACACAATGTCCTCGGTTTCACCTGGTTTTACCTTTAAAAACGAAAAAAATTATAATTTGACATATAACTTTTGTGTCTCTATATTTAGTATATACCAGCTTGAGGGGATCCTCAGACTCTTTCGCTCTGTTCACCAGCTAGCTGCTACAGTGTATTTTTAGAGCTTTTTTCCTTAAAAAAAAAAACAAAAGAAACACTCTGCCTGCTGCTGCAGTGGGCAAGAGTGCTGAGAGTGAACCAAAAACAGTTACAGTTGCAGGTGTGACAGCTAAACAATGAACTGAAAGCTCTGCAAAGATGAGGGGAGCATTTTCAGGTGCTGTAAGCACCGCACAGCAGAATTGATGGTAAGCTTAAAGTTCTTTGGGAGATACAGAAGTAATGCTCAGCAGCAGCAACAGAAAACTTTTGTCATGCAATATGAATGCTACTAGTACATACCGGGCTTCCAATTTTAAATGGAGAGCCCCTGAGATATCTTCAAGGCATAAAAATACAGAGTCGGTTCAATTAAATTTTAAACAGTTTATTTATACAGTGCCAATTCAGATGCCTTCAAATGCCTAAAGTCACTTTAGGAAAGATAACCCTTGAGAACTCTGACAATCAGATAATCTCCTTCAAGCAGCACTTGGTGACTGGGGGAAAGAAGAACCCTGTTTTAACAGGAAGAGGAGGGAGTGAAGAACAAATGCTCATATCTAGCTCTAAATGTAAGCTTTATCAAAAAGGAAAATTTTAAACCTAATCTTAGAACTACAGAGGGTATCTTTCTCCTAAACTGGGAGCCGGTTCCACAGTGAAGAAGCCTTCTGTTCCGTCTTTGGAAACTCTGAGAACCTGCAGTCTGCGAGTGAATTTCTCTGGTCCAATAATAGCTGGGTTTTTTGCTCATTCCAGACCTTTATGCTAGAAGAATGATTTTAAATTCAATTCTAGATTTGACAAAAAGCCAATATGGGTGAAATATGATCGCTCTGTCTAGTGCCCGTTAGCACTCTTGTGGCATACTGGATCAGCCGAAGGCGTAAAGCGTGCCTCGCCACTTGGCTGCCATCTTGAAATGGCCCTTGCCATGTTTTTGGGCAATTATTTTGAAGCATTACCTAAATAAAGTTTCATTTTAACGGTCGCCTGGAGATAAAAACTAGAGAATCAGCAGTGAAATCTAATTTAAAAACAAGTGATTAAACTTTAGGGGCGGCACAGTGATGGTCTCACAGCTTGGGCTAGGTTAGTTAGCATGTTCTCCTTGTGCCTGTGTGGGTTCTCTCTGAGTGGGTTTATCCCACTGTCCACAGACATACAGTACATGTTAGGGATCACTGGTGTTTCTAAAGTGGCCTTAGGTGTAAATGTGAGCATAAACTGTTGTTTATCCCTCTCACCCTCCCCATGACCCTGAGTTTGAGAGCTGTTTCTAGGACTTCACTTGTCTGGACAGAGACCTCAGCCCACTCAGTCCTCTCGCCTTTGCATGCAACAGCAGTGGTGGCATCTCCTTGGTACATTTATATATATACATATATTTCACTTGCTGAAAAATATACTTAAAAACTTAACTTACATTAAAAAAAAGATTTTCGAGGTTAGGCAGGAATCCATGCAGATCATTTACAGGGTGGTTTCTTTTATTTCAGGCTTGTGAGAAGGAATAAATATTGGAGGAAACTTTTGACCTCTGCTTAAACTTAAAATTCATACACATTGATAATTTTAGACTCCTCTGTTCATTTATTTTAAATCAGAAAAATGACTAAATTGAAGCTGCTGAAGTGATTTTTAATGCTTAATGTAAAACTACCAGTAAACAAATCTTATATTAATGATGCACTACTGCAGTTAATTGCAAACATCTAAAAACTGACTGCGGTCTCGGATGAACATCTGGGGCAACCATTCAAAAACTCATAAATGTTAAAAACACATCTTTGAAAAAGGAGGACAAAGCATCTGTGGTCTCTTCAACACAAGTGTTCAGCATCATACAGAGGAAGCAGACCTCACTGCTGCTGAGAGAGGACACCAACGAGTCGGGAGGCTCTTCATCTTCCCCCAATCCCACCTGGAAAAATCTGACTACATCATGGTCACATTAGACAACATTTTACAAAAATATGTGAGATATCGCGATTAATGCAGAATGTTAAGCAATTATAGACCTTGATGTCAATGACTATGCATTCAGATGTGGCGAAATCCGACAGTCGGCCTACTTTTCACTAATTAAATCCATAACTGAAACATAAAAGAGCACCAGCTCTGATATAGATTAGCCTCTGCTTCCTTTGGGGTGTGCAATACATCAAAATAACAAACGATAGTAATTAAATTCGTCAAGTTCTCCCAGAAACGTTTAGAATTACAGCTAAAGGTGAAATTCCTTTTTTTCCCCCTGTATGTTGTAGGTTGTTACTTGGCACAAACCAATACAGGAAATCTGGTCATAACTCCCTTTGGGATATAAAGTTTGGATTAGTTCAACACAGAGTTCTGACCTTTCGACCCCTGACCCAACACTCATGAAAATTAAATCAATATTTTCCTGAAAACCTCCTGTCTGACAGCTGCTGGATTATCGACCACTGCAGGCAAGAACGGATCTTTGAATGCCTCATCCAATATGGCTGCCTTTATGTAAGAAATCCCCTTCTTAATTTGAATACAGTTACTATAATATTCATACTGATACCGCTGCACTGATTCAACTTAACACTTCTTACAGTGAAAAACTCTTGAACCACAATTCATTCCATCATATAAGGAAACAGACTTTCTTGTCATTGTTTAGAAATGGTCTTGCGTGTTTAATCTCCAAGCTTCTGGAGGTCTTTCATTGAACATTGGCTGCTTCTTCACTTTTCAGTCCAGTCCTTGTAACAAGGCATTTTAACAGGAATGTTGTTCTTGTTTTTTAAGGCATTTAACATAATCATTCATGCAGAAGACTAGCACCGCACTCAAGGAATTAACTTGTTTAGTCTTTAAACACAACAGATAACTCAGCAAAGAGCCAGTTTAACTTGTCTCTTTAAACAATTTCAAACTTTGAGCCTAAAATAACAAAAACACATTTTCTAGCGCTGTCAGCGTTAATCTTGTTAAAATGACATTAACGCCATAACCGCATTAAATCTCCGTTAGCGAGTTATCGCGGATCGCCCCGTGCGTGGGGCTGCACAGTGTCAGCGCGGTTAGCTCGTTAAAGCGTTAGGGCCGTGCATCCCCACGCACGGGGCGATCTGCGCTAACTCGCTAACAAAATTTGCTGCCTTAATGCGGTTAACGTCATTTTAGCAAGATTAACGCTGACAGCATTAATTTGTTTGCATTCTTTTGTAGAATCTATGCAAAAGGCCAAAGACAACAGAGTTTGGCAGGCATAAATCAGCACCAACAAGTTGATTCCCAAATAATTATTAGCTGAAATATTGTCATAATCCCAGCATGGCGTGCAGTGTGTCGTTAAACAAAATCTGAGGAAACTTGACAAGCTATCTACTGCAGACAAACAGCATCTGAAAGTTATTCCCTTTAAAAATAGGGAATACATCAAAGAAAGACCTGACACAGGATGTAAGAGATGCATCTGGCTCTTCAGCTGATCCATCTCCGTTTCACTGAAGCCATCAGAAAATGTCTCAGTGGAAGGGAGCCTGTCAAGAAGCCATTCTTAGGGGAAAAAAAACAGGCAGAAAAGGCTGAGGGATGCCAGTTTACAGAAGACATGGAGTGAAAATCAGTGGCATTGGAGTGATGAACCCAAATTGGAAATTTCTGGTTCAAACTGACATTACATATGGAAGTGGTCAGGAGAGAGGTTAGAGATGGCTGTGAGTGTCTACAGCCATCTGGGAAACACGGTGGAGGCTCTGTCATAGTCTGGTGGAGGAGATCTTGTCAAAACTGATGGAATTGTGAATGCATAAAAGTACCGTCAGATTTTGATACACTGTGCAACACCATCTGGAAAGTGTCTCAGCGGGAGCCACGTCTTTTTTCTGCCGGACAATGATCCCAAACAAAGAAGACTGGAAAACTATTCCTGGTGGTCATACCAAATATTGACTTTCATGCTTGTGTAAAGAAATAAGCAGTGAGTCAAGACTTTTGCACAGTACCGTATGTGTTTCATACAAATATGCTGTTGCAAACAGAAAAGAAATGTTGGTTTGACAACATTTTAACAGCTGTTTGTCTTATTGACTCATTTTCAGTTTGACTGAAACCATCATAAAATTATTCAACAAACTTAATTACCATAAACAGGTCAGCAGAGGCCTGCTGCTCTTTTTTTTGTTCTTCAGCCCTCTAAGATGGTCATTAGAAGTCTGTGAAGTGCGATTCAAATTTCTGCAAAACGAACACATGCTTAACAGAAAGCTCGTGATAACGCCTTCATGAATTTGGTCCCACAAATTATCAAACTGGAGCCACAAAATTATGAAAAAAGGCTGCAAATTAGGTGAAATTGGAAAATGATGTGTATCATCTTCATTCAAGTAAATGAAAACAACTAAATTAGGTCTATTTTTGCCCCAACACACAGCATCATCTAATGCTGCAGATATAATCAGCCCTGGCCTCAGTGTGGGTGATATTCCTCTGTGGCACCTTCAGGGAAACACTGTAATTGGTTAGTTGGTGAAACCATTTTGCAAGTGCAGCTGAAGTAAGAAGAATTAGAAGGGTTTTTATATATATTTGACAGCATAACTGCAATTAAAGTAAAATGCAGCCTGACTGGTACCTGCTTCAGTATGGCCAACATAAACCTGACACACAGCACAAAGCTGACATTTCCAGGCTGGGCAGCCTGGCACAATAATGTCTGTTGTGTAACAGTAAAAGCAGGCATGCTGCAAAGACAAATATACAAGTTTAAAAAAAAAAGAGAGAGCAAGAGAGACATAAGGAGGAAAGTAGAGATACCAACCATGAGCTGCAGGTTCAGTGCTGGGCGCAGTGTCTGAGCACACAAGGAGAGGACATGGCAGTTGTGGAGGGAGGTGTGGAACAGGAGGAACAGCATGCAAATAAAGAAGAATTGGGGTGGGGGAGGCAGGGAGGGAGCAGGGCAGGGGGAGAAAACAAATGACACCCATAAGCAAGCATTCAGAAGACCAGAACATGACAAAAGACATAAGACTTAAGGGAAATCAAAGGGAACCAAAGGCAGTGCAGAGATAAACACGGGCTTGCATTCACACACAAAAATACACTTTGCACTGCACACACTGGACATTCGACTCAGAGGGGAGTGTGGCTACTGCTCGAGGAGATATGGAAGAGACTATTATCGTGTGCTGTTGGCAGCTTTGGTGTGCAGAAATGAAAGACTATCGAGGGGAAATAATTGTGCAGCCGTCTTGATGTATCAGTTTGTGACTTGGAAAACATTTCACCAGCACTTTATGAAGGCAATGTTTCATATGGCAAATAGTTAAGTAAAGCAGAAACAAAGTAACAGAATTCATTGCTGAAATAACTCTGCATTGAATGAGATACAGCAGCCAAATTATCACCAGCCAACTCTTATCACTTTAGGCTTTTTCAACACCAGGTTTTAAATTTAAATGCACTTTCCTGTAGTTGGTATTCGAGAGAGTGGCGACCTTACATTTTAGCTCCACTACTAGTAAATCCAGCTAAAAGGATCTTGACCGGGACTGTGTAAAACTTGGACTGATGAGTGTCAGCTTGCAGTTTTTTTCTTCTTTTTGTGGAAAACGCTACATAAATTATCAGCTGCTGCACATCCTTGAGTCTGCCGTCAGAGGATTTCAGATGCTGTTAGATAAACTGACAAGTGCTGTCTCAATAGATGTTACACCTGCCCTGCTGTGCAGCGTTTGCTATCAAGCATGACTACTTCACCATTTTGGTCAGCAGCACTGTAGCTCGAGAGGAAAAAACGTTATCAAATTTGAACATTATCTGCATTATCCAACTTCGAAAAATGTGGTGGCATCATGGTAACTAATAGAATTTCACAGGAAAATTATATTTACAGTGTATATTATGCGTAGCTCTTGGTTAAGTAAATACAGACATTTCACATGGCTTATTAAGTTTAGTTGATAGCTGGAGATTTATAATATTTCAATGACTTAAGCCATTTGAGATCCATCAACTCAGTGCATTTAGCAACGCTGGCTGCTTTGATTAGGTTGCTTTTACATTAGACCAATGTGTAAAACAGAGACAAATCACAGCCAAAGCTGGTGTAGCTTCAGTGCACACAGCAGACTGCTACACCCCACTGTATAATTGGTGAGACGAAAACAAACAGTTCACTCTCATTTAAACTACCAGTTACATGTCTTTAACTATGTCAACTGCAGTGTGTTTTAAAAGGTTCAGTGTGTTACATTTGAGAAGATTTGTAGTCTTACTCGTATATTATTTTTGGGTTTTGATTTCAGAACGTACCCCTAACCTCTTCTCTATGTCTAACATACTACTGTACATGTGGACCATTTGTAGAGAGCGTCCTGAGACACTGGCCGTTTATAATAATCAATGAAATTATGTGCATTCTGTGTCTCACTTCGACTATAGAGGTCCGTCGCAGGTGTAGCCAATCAAAAGATAAGTTCTACTCCGTATCCGCTCTGCGAATGATCCGCATATGAAGTGCTCGTGTGGTGGAAGTAACCCTACAATAAAGTTTAGGCCCTCCTTGACTATGAAAAGCCGATTATTCTGAAGCAGGACAGTTTTGTTCCCGTGTGTCACTTCCAATTCCTTGGTCTTTTCTCTCTGCAGGGACATGTGACAGGGCCTGTAAGGCGTTGATGCAGATAGATGTTATTGCAAGTTAGAGATTTGTGCTCGGTGCTAATGTGCAGGGAACAATAGACCAATGCCACACCTCACCTCTGCTGCCAGAAGCTATGATACAGGGAGCAATTTCACAAGGTGAGTCCGTCTTAGAGTTACTGAAGTCTAAAAGGATCCGTTCTCCTTGAGTAGTTGAGACATGTCAGTGCTAAATAACGCCCTGGGCCAGGGATTAGACTGACAATGCATATTTGGTGAAGTTACAGCCCTTAGTATGAGCCACAGAAGTGACCAAAATAGTGCTTTTTTGCAGTTGGATGCTGTATATAGAGAAATTCTTTGAGCCAGATTAGTAAGGTAGACTGTTAAATGTGGACGTGCATTACCCAGCTATCTCATTTTGTGCCGCAAACAAACAAACGAAAGCGTAAAATCCCCACACAATAAACTTGCTTGATCCTGATTACAGAATCCTGTCATACCAAAAGGATGCTGTATTAGTTCTGAAGTGACAATTAGGTTTACACTGTTATATGTTGACAGAATGACACTGCTTTCCACAGGAATTAGGAGGTATAAAACAATACCCTGGCATAAATATGACAAGCAGGATCCTATTTCACTAATTGTGAGTGTTTGGGCAGTGGTATTTACAGTTGCACAATAGTTATTTTGATGTTGTCTGAGTTCCAAAAGGATTGTTGACAAGTATTAGCAGACCTTAGAAAAGTCTTTCACGAAGCAAGTCGTGCTACTTGGCAGTTTTTTCAGGCTAACAAGGCCAAGCTCCTATCTGGATAATGGAAAGAGACAAGTACACGATCAGCAGTCACATTTGATCAAATTTGTTTTAAAAGTGGTGGCTGTGCTCAAAAATGAATTTGAAAATCTTTTCTGAATTGCAGTCACCACATTGCGTCTGTATTTACGGCTCAGTCAGGAGTGTCTGCATTATCAGCAACAGCGTCTGTTCGTCTCGCCAGAGCAGTGAACAAATATCATGCTTATCACATTATGTATAGTGTTGTAGGGGCAAAAAACCCCTGTAAACTTACACATTATACGCTCTGATATTTATGGTGTTTGAGTCACATTCACATGGAGATAGGTAAAAGTTTAAATAGCTTAGTGTGTGTAAGTATTATTGCAGGGTGGTTTTTTTTTTTTTGGTTTTTTTTATAAAAATGCAGTGCAAATCTCTCTGGAAATGCTGGCATCTCAAAATAGGCACGAAGAAGGTCTGAAAAATGCTCATTTTAGGTAAAATGTCATACAGGTAGACAGCTGCAAAAATCTCTGGTAGTGGAAAATGTTGGCAATCTTAAGACATGGTTATTTTCAGGGACCAGTGAGTTTATTTTATTTAGCAAAAACAGGCGGCTGAGAAGCAGAGGACATAAGCTGATTCAAACTTTTTCCAGAATCAGTCTGTTGTTGGTAAAGACTCAGGTTTAAATGCCTGATGCCTCGTACTCTGATCATCTACGGTGGCTTCTGGAACACCTTTTTAGACTCTGGTAAGTGTCACAGAAGCATTTTTGCTGACTGTTGTTGGAGAAATTCAAAATCCAAATCCAGGCTCTGACACGGAGAAGAAAGACAGCATAAATGAACCTACATATTTACTATGATAGTGAGTGAAGATGCATGTCTCCTAACAGCTGACTGTTGCATTCTTCCATCCAGCAACACATTTGACTCAAGTGTCTCCCAGTTTGTCTCTTTTAAAGCCAACAGAGAGGACAGATTTGTCCTTAGGATCTTTTAAATGGCATATCTCAGCCTTACAGCGTCTCTCTCACAGCAGTCTATTTGGTAAATGTTCTACATGGCTGCAGCCCCCAGAAGCAGGGAGTAATTTTCTATTTAAGGTTTCTGTATTTATGGTGGTGACTACACCTGTTATGAACAGTTTCTTAACAATAAAACCAAATCAAATGTCACACTACGCTGACTTTTCATTTCTTTAAAAAAATGTTTATGAGGACCAGAAGGTGGAGGCAGGTCTGCTGTACTATTATCTGCCTTATATTTTCCTAAAACAGAAAGAAACAAGGAGTTGTAGAATATGATCCCATTTTTTTAATTGACTGGTGACATTTCATGAGTCTATGAGAGAGCACAGGGGGGAAAAGTATTTGTATAGTAGGAGGAAATAGGGAAATGACTGGCTCGACTATTTTCATTTTATACATTCCAGTATAATAGCAACAGCAGCAGATCAGAGCACATCTTATGAAGGGTTAGATCAAAAGATGATAATAGCCTCTTTTCAAAACATCTCTGCCACCGGAGAAGAGATTTATGCACTGGTGTTCACTGGCATCCAAATGTAAAATGAAGCCTGTGTCGCTGCAAGCCTCAGTCAACAGAAAGGCAGCCTGACCTGCTAACCCTCATTACACTGTGGGTGGTAACCATGTGGGACCATTCAGTATGTCTGCTGCAGAGTGATTGCCTGTACATTTTTGAACAGCCTCTCTTTCCAGCAGCCCTCTTTCACCATCTCTAGCTTCAGGTCAACTGAGACATCGGCACTGTCCTCGCTGACATTCAGAGACATGGTGAGGACATGGCTTCATGACTAGTTGTCATGATTCCCACAAGCCCTTTGGTGACTTACTGTGACACAAAATCCAGCTCAACATGCAGAGATAACTGCGTGCCAATCATAATTATATTGGTAGAAATGCATTAGGGGGAACCCTGCAGTACAGAAAAATGCCAACATGCTGCTGGGTGTCCCCGCTGGCTGTTAGATTACTTTTTTGTTGGATCCACTGACCTGGCTTCTCTACTCTGGCTTTAGTTTGTGATTTCCTATATTTCCCAGACTTTTCCGTCCCCCGTGGAGCGCTGCTGATAGAGAAACTTGTATCTCTTTCTTTTCAACAAAAGATTTTGCTCTGTAATAACAGTTGAATGCTGGAGAACAACGGAAAATCCAGGAGGAAATTCTTTTCAAAGTCAGTTTGAGGTGCAATCGTATTATAGTGATCTTTATTATTTATTTTTTTAAGTTTCTGGTCACTTGTTTTTTTTTCTTCTTGGAACAGACACAAATTTAACCCAGTAGTGAAAGTGCATTACAATAAATGTTTTTAGGGATAAACCTTTCTCACTCACTATGTGTTAACAGACCTCTCTGCATTGAATCACACTTGTTATTGATCTCTGTCTCTCTTC